GAAAGACAGATGAGGGGCGTTTCTGAGACTGCTGCTGCGATCGTGAGAGCCCAATTTCTATAAGACCTCCTGTTCCCTGAGCACCACACAGAACGCCTCCTGAGCCCCCTCAGCTCTCATGGCCCCCCTGTTGATGGTTACTCCTGGGGGTTCTAACCATCCTGTAATTCCAGTCTCACTTGAGCAAAGATTTCAGTGATGGGAGAAAGGCCCTGGGGCAGAAAATAGAAAGACAGTGGCCGACCGGTGCTTGACGTGGTATGCGTCGGCACAAGGGGAGCTGCACCTGCACACAGCTGTCCACTGCTGATGTGACTTTGGTCAGAAGACGGCTGAGGTTTTGTGCTGGATGACAGCTCTCATTGTCATCATTGTCATAGCCATTATCGATGCCTAAACCAGCTACAGCACAAAGACAGGGTGTTGTAAATAATACAATAGAGACATCAACAAGGTGCATAGGAGGAAAGGAAAGAATGATTCCAGCATTTGGGAAAGAGGAGGTGTCATGAAGATGGTTTTTCATGGGATCTCAAAAGATAAGCAGGATTTCATAAGGTAAAGAAGTCAGGGCAAAACGTTCCAGGAGAGAAAAACATAACAAAAACGTGAATATAGTGATGGGGATACATGATGGGTGTAGTGATGGGGTTGCAGTGATGGGTGCAGTGATGGGTGCTGCAGTGGGGCACAGTGAGATGGGTGCAGTGATGGGAACAGTGATGGGGACAGAGATGGCTGCAGTGATGGGTGTAGTCATGGGTGCAGTGATGGGGTACACTGAGGCATTCATTGGTCTGGATGCTAGGATGGAGCCAGATGAGAAAGATTTGAACATCTAGTTAAAGTATTCGGGTTTAACATGAATGTGAAATGGGGTTGAAGGAAAGGTGATGAGAAGGAGGCTCTAAGGCTCCCTAGTCCTGTGCCCATGTCGGGTGAGAAGGGCATTGCCCAGTGACCTGATTCCATCACCACTGTACCGTTACGTTGTTTAGTCCACCTACAGGTTGGTTTCCATCATGAGGCAGCTGCCGTTGCTCTCATGCCTTCAAAGGTTCCTTTAGCTCCCCTTATGAGAACGGGCAGTGGGCGTTGATCTCCACTGCCTAGCAGTGTTTCAAGCCAAGCCTCATACTCAGCTCTTGGCTCTCACCTTGGTTTTTTTCCCTCAGGGTTTCAGCTGAGCCATCTGGGCGAGCAGGGAGAGCCCATCAAAGGTCTGTGTACCTCAGGGGCCATCCAGGCCACTGGTCTGTGCTACTAATGGGGACATCAAGGTCCAAGGAAGTGGTATCAGTGGTTATTCATCTTTCTAGAAGATTAAATGATTTTTCATGGCCAACCTCCCCTCCCTGATCTTCCTCATTCCCTACCCCCTCCTCCCCAAATTGCAAAGCCTGCAGCTTGGAGGCAGGAAACCTGGGTTCAAGTCCCATCTGTGCTGCTTCTCAGCCTTGTGATATTGCACCAGCCATCCTACCTTGCAGAAACTCAGTTTTCTCATCTACAAAATGGGAATAATCGCATTAAATTAGGTAACAGATGCAAAGAAAGCAATCATCCCCAGGTATGGTACCTACAAAGCATTCTACATATGAAAGCTAGTGTCACTGTTCCCGTGACATTATCAGTGTTTCCCAGTGAGCACGCCCAGTCTTAGGGGATGCCTGAGATAATCAGAGGCGGGACGTAGACAGAACAGCAAATAGAAGACATGTATTAAATAATTAGGAAACTATTTCCTCCAGTTCTCTTTGCATTCTGATTTTGTAGAAGAAAAAGACTCAGTTTGGTGGTAGCATGTCTTCTATATATACCAATGCTTGTGAATTTCCATTTTTAACAATGAGGAAATAACTCGCCCCACTGGTTAATGGTAGATAATTACATTTAACTCTATCTGGTAAACTCGGTCCTATTCAATAATTTAAACAGTCTCTTTAGGTAGAATAATCTTTCTCAAATATGTCCATACTCTCTCAGATTTTCTTCCCACCCCACCAACACTCCTCAGGACAGGATCTGGCTGCATGAGTTGAGGGAAGCTGATAGGGCCACATGTGAAAAGCAGAGGGAGCTTGGAGCCACTTGCAGAGGGCCTCACGTTGTCGTGGTCTCCACATCAATTTCCATCCGCACCAGGCTCCTGGGAGGATGAGGAGTTCTAAAACGGTGAGCTTGTGGTCTGGATTGAAGCCTGCTGACCTTCCCTTGCTGTCCCTGTGCCCTACCCCGGCCCTGCCCAGCACTCAGCCACCTGCTCCTGCCCCAGCTAGGCTGGGGCTCCATTCTGTTCTAAGCCTGGAAGTGCCTCTGTATCTCCCTGGCCTCCTCCTCACCTAGCTCCCAGCCAGACTGGCAATCACCTCCGAGTTCGCTTTTGGGAGACCCCAGGGTACACGTGAGCAGCTGTGAGGGACACATGCCTGGAAACGTCTAAGGTGTGCTCTTGGGGAGGAAGCTGGTCATGGCCACAACTAATAGGAAAACAAGAGAGGTTGGAATAGCGAAGTGCTAAGGTGTTCAGGAGGATCAGGGAAAGGCTCTGGAAGAAGTTCTTGGAAGAAGTGGCAGTGGAATTGGGCTTTAAAGGATAAGCAGCTGGAAAAGAAAGACATTCCCAATGGGGGCTGGGGAGGGATTTGACAACAACAAAGTCCATGTGAAGGTACTTTTAAAACTGTTGAATGAGCAGTGGCATTTCTGGTCAAATGCAGGGGTAGAGTTCGGAAGCAGGGAGAATCTTTTTGGTGGCAGTTAGGGAGAGCCAGAGGGAAATACAATCTAAGAAGCCTTGAGGTTGCCAAGAAGGCTGTAGAGGAAGTGGACACTGAAGGTCCTGTTGGCAGCCCCAGCCGAGATGCCATCCTGAGGTGGACCTTCAGAGCCACTCTCTTGCCCTGGCAGCAACTTTCTTCCTCTTCTCAGAAACTTCTTGGCTTATCCAGCCTGTGCTGGTTCTTCTGGCATCAAAGGCAGATGTGGAAACCTCATTCATACTTGGGTCTCTGGAACTTATAATCCTACAATGTCTGCTCAGTTGTCAACATAAGATGGGGAGACGGAGGCCCAGAGCAGAGAAAGGATTTGTTCAAGGACACCCTTGATTCTGAGGGAGAATCAATGTAGAACCCAGGTCTCTATGAAGAGTTTCAAGGTCATGGGCGAGGGCACATGGCTGCTTAGGGCTGCCGTAACAGGAAGGGCTCAGTGGAAAGGCAGGGAGAAGGAATCACATTCTTCTTTGCAGCTTTTTAAAGAACAGTGTGTAGGTGGGTCTTAGCAAGCAAGATTTAGATTCCAATCTAGTAAACGCTATTGACTACCTACAATATGGCCAGGACATGAGCTAAGTGCTTTGATACCTAAAAAGCTGTAAGTCTTTGAATCCTCTCGACAACAAGTATGTCTATAAACATGCATTAAGATATTTATATTCTCAATGTTAAATCTAAAAATGTAAACCCTGCAGGCAAGCCAGAAACATTTGAGAAATTCACTCCGTTCACCTCCAGAAATGCATGCTCACCTCAAAGATGGACAGACTGAACGTGCGGACATCTAATAAAAACAATCTCTTTCTTCCTTAGCCCCAGTCCATAGTTCTTAACCATCATCGTATTTAGGGACTGCTGTTCACTGGATTTCATGGGCAATTTGCAAGATTTTCAAGGTTAATTTGAGGCATATGTGATTTTTGCTGAATTAAGAATCAAACCCTCGCATAAGCTTTCACTGAAGTCCTTTTTCCATCACCCCTTGCACTTTCAGCAGCATATCAGGAGTTGGAGTTGGGGAAAAGAGATTATTTCCTGGAGGAGTTCAAATCCGTCAAGGTTTATGGAGTGCCTGCCTCAGGCAAAGTGCATCAGGCAGTCAGGTAGCCCCTTGCTAGGACCTTGATGTAGGCCTCCCTGCTTGTTTATGCAGAGTTCTGTATCCAGCAGGCACATGTTACCTGCTTATGGCTCCCCTGCCTCTCTCATAAGGTGACTACTCTGGGGAACCTGTGCGTTGTTAGATTGATGCTTTTCAAACAGACTCTGGCTGTTGTTACATCTCAGGGCCCTGCCCCCACATCTGCAGGGGGTGGGCAGAGGATGCACTTTCTAGTGCCCCAGATAACTCTTGACTCTGCCAGCCCAGCCCCAAGAATTTGAAAAGCCCCTTCCTGGACCCCTTACCCTAAATGAGGTGTGGAGCCTGCTGGGGGCAGGTTGGTGATGCTCCTGGGTCCTGACCTGGATCTTCCTACGACCCACCAGCAGTTTTTCAGAACCTGGCCTTATAATGGAGAAGGCACTGCAGTGAGAACCCACAATGCTGAGGACAGGTCCCAGCAGAACTGCTTCTCATGACTTCGCCCCCTTGCACCTGTCTCCAGACCAGAATCGCAGAGGGCTGGCCTAAGACCCAACTCAGGCTGGTGGACATGCTGTGTTGGGCTCACACGGTGATTTTTTAAAAATTGAGGCTACATTTAAAAGTGTAGAGATACCATAAACTTCGGTTTGGTCTGCCTACACTGTCACAGACCACATGTTTCTGGAGCTGAGAGTCACGGCATTTAGACAGAGTGTGTGCTATCCAGTTTCCCACAAGCCTCCCTCTCTGCTTATCTGTCCTGGCCAGCGGCATTGCCTGCTTGCTGCCTTCACGGCCCCTGGAGACATCTGACGTGGGGACCCCTGGCTTACCTGATCTCGAATGTCCTTTCTACTTCTACCATATCTATGAGTCCAAAGTCTACCAAATTATCTTTCCCCAGTTCAAGAGTTAATCATCAGTTTCTTCTTATGTAAATCAGAACAGGAAAGTCTTGCTTGGCCAATCCCTCTGAAAATATTGGTTGGTTGCTATTCTTCGCTATCCCTGAGACCTGTGTCTGACTGCTCAGCATTTGCCTGTTAACAGGAAGCCCTTTCCAGGCCCTGACCAAAGCTCTCTGAGGCCAGCAGCGGCCGTGGATGTCCAGGGAGTTCAGCTCGGGCAGCTGGATGGACAGGGATTGGGTGCACCCAGGCCAGGCCCTGATCTGGGCTGTTGGGGTCCTCGCAGCTGCCACCAAGGGTGAGACACCTAGTGGGAGAGGAGGGCTCTCAGAATATGGGACAGGAAAGAATTTTCCATGGGTGGAAAGGAAGTTATTTTTCAGAGGTCTCTGACGGCCTACAGAGGGCTACATAGTACACTTAGGGCACGAATGTCTTGGTGTTGCTGACAGCCAAGGGCCAGAGCTTCTTGGGCACAGGTATGGCACAGAAGACCCTGGTTTTGCCCTTGGGCTGCTCAGCCTTGCAAGGGACTTGGAGGAGTTCTGTCCTGGGCAGTGCGGGAGGGCTTGGGACAGAATCTGTGCTTCTGCCGTCCTGGCTGCGGAGGCAGGACTTTCGGTAATGGGAGGACATTAGAAACAGCGCCAAGACACCAGGTCCTGCTAAGTAAGTCACTGGGCTGTTTGCTTCTCAAGGATCTGTGCTGTAACCAAGATGCCTGCTTGCCAGTTTCCCCAAATGCCACGTTCATACCCCTGGAAGTAGATGAGTCGGTTTCAGGTGGCATCTGCATGTTAATGTTAAATTTTGTAGATGAATATTTATTTTATGTTTATTCAAAAGCATATACTTAACACATTTACACCACAATTCCATAGCTGTTATTGCTTAGGATTCCTCTAGGTAAAATTTTAAAAGGAGTTTATTCAAATTTAAGAAAAATAAAAAGCTGGTTATCGTACAGGTGACGCACAGATGTCCCAGCAGTTGTGTTGGTGGGTACAGCAATGGCAGAAGTGTGGGACCCCCTGAGCAGATGATTTTGTGGGGTCCTGGGATCTGCACAGCCTGCCTGGTGTTGGCCCTGTAGAAAGGGAAAGCTGCACAGCAGAAAGGAGATGGGTTCTCAAATGAACCAGGAAAAGTTCTGTGGCTTGGAGCTGGGCTCCTAGGAGAAATGAAGTCAGTGCTCTCATGAAGGTGACTTCTAAGGCAATCTTGGATGAAGCGGTGGACACGGACTCCTGGAGAGGGAACTCAGATACTTTTAGTTGCACAGAAAGAGTGTCCCTCCTTGGGGAAGCTCCACGTCGGGCCGTGCCCTGCCTCTCCCCACCTCCTGACTCCTTCTCATGTGTCCCCTCAGGGCTCGCTACTGAAGTGCCACAGAGGAACACCAGCCTGGGATGGGTCCAGGGGAAGCAAGTCACTGTGCTGGGAAGCTCCGTGTCTGTGAACGTGTTCCTCGGGGTCCCCTATGCTGCACCCCCTCTGGGACCCCTGCGATTTGCAGACCCACAGCCTGCATCACCCTGGAATGACTTGCGAGAAGCCACCTCCTACCCTAACTTGTAAGACCAGGCTTGGACCCATGAGTGGCCTGTGACTGTGGGAGTCGGTGGGGGGAGTGAAGGTCATGCAGCCGGGCGGGAAAGGGGAGTAGGGGTGGAGGACGGTCGAGAGAGGAGGGGGAGAGAGAGAGTTACAGACCTACGGTCATGCTTCAGTCATCTCCTGATTCCCAAACTGGCTGGTCACCAGAGTCGCTGGAGGCATTTTTCAAAATAGCAGATTCCCTAGGCTCCCCCTTCTGAACTTCCTGAATCAGAATTTCCCAAGCTGGGCCCAGCAAACTGTTGTCTGATAGCTCTCTAGGGATTCTGAGCTCCAGCCAGCTTTGGGCAGCACTGTGGTGGCCTTACTCCCTGTCGGTCAGAAGGGAATGTCCAGGTGCTTCCATGTGACCTCTCGCCCAGGCTTGACCTCTGTGGTCAGGCTGGGTTAGGGCTTCAGAGAGAAGAACCACACCAGAGGGACTGTAGCTCTGGCAGCTGCGACTGCGCCTGATGCGGTGCCTGGCCCCTAGTGAGAACTCCATGAACACTTGCGGGATGGATACAGGAATGTGTCTCTTAGACACAGGGGGCCCCAGGGGTAAGGAGGTCTCAGTCACCGCAGATTTGCAGGCTTGGGTGGGTAACCAGTTAGCAGGTTGACTGTGGAGGGGTGAGGTGAGAGTGATGGGTGGGCAGGAGGGCTTGAAAATCCCCAAGAATCTTCTTGCTCCTCAGATTCTGTGGCACCCACAGGTTGGGCCACATCCGTTCCTGGTACTGGGGTCCCAGGCAGAAGGAATATCCTGGTGCTGGAATACCCGCTAAGCCACAGAAGATGACCCCATGTGATTCTAGGGACTGAGGACATGAAGCTGAAACTCATTTGTTCGTTCATTCATTCATTCATCCAACTAATATTCATTGAGACCCAACCTGATACCTGGCTCTCCATCAGGCCCTGGGGACACCACAGTAGATTAGTCACAGCTGCCCTCAGGGAGCCTATAGACAGGGACATAAACAATAGTTAACAGTTAAAATACAGGGTGACAAGGGCAACCATTAGGGGGTCAGAGGAGGGTGCTGAGCAAGCACAGAGGACCACCTAACGCAGTTTTGAGGGGAGTCAGAGGTGGCTTTGCTGAAAGCAGTGAGGCCTGATTTCTGGAAAGCCGCATGCAAAGGGGCAAGGGCACAAACACCTGTTAGGGGCAGATTTGCAGCCATACTGTACTCTGTTCTATTAAGAAAACAGCTAACATGAATGGCGCTAAACTTAGTAGAAATATTCGCATATACAATTGCACTTGATCTTACTGTGTGTCAGGCCCTGTGCTGGGCCATGAGGTACAGAGGTGACTGACACAGAGTCCTTGGCTCTTAGCTGTTCACAGCTGAGTTGGGGAAGATGATAATGCTCATGTGCAAGCTTGGGACTAGTTCTAGGAAAGAATACAAGACATAAGGGTGTTTCCAAAGAGCTATGGTCTAACTGGAGCAATCTCAGAATGCTTCTTGGAGGAGGTGGCATTTGGGCTGAATCTGAAAGAGAGGGGAGAACATGAGCAAGCAGATGTGGGGAGATGGCAGTCCAGGCAGAGGAGCCAGCTTAAGCAAAGTCTGGATGCAGGAGTCTCCTTGCAAGTCCACCTCATTCGGTTCCCGGTAGGGAAGCCTGGAAATGTCCCTTTGCGCTTCTGGGGAACAGAAGAGGGAGCGGCAGGAGCAAAGCCCTGGAAATTCAACCAGTGTCCTGCTCTCTACAATCTGGGAATTGCTGAGCCAGCTTGAGTGGTTACGTATGTCTGTATTATCGGTGTAGTCATGGGGGCGTGCGCAGGGTTAATGGTTTATGCTCAAATTATTCTGAACAGTGTGCCTTCCCACCCAGGAACCAGAACAAAGAGAATTATAGTTTGCTTGTGTGTATGTGTGTTTGTTTGGGAAACCATGAGGGTTTTAGCCATGATCAGACTTTGTACTGATAGCTCCCATGTACCTCTCCTGCTCAGGCAGAGGAGATGGGCAGGCCACCCCACTGTCACAAGAACTGACCCCTCCTAGGCAATTTTGCTGACAGCAATTCTGAGGATTTTCTCCTCCCCTTCTCCAAGGTGTTTCCAGAACTCAGATTGGCTGTTCTCAGATCAACACATGCTCAGGGTGCATTACCCCAAGCTCAGAACATCGGAAGACTGCCTGTACCTTAACATCCACGCGCCTGCCCATGCCAATGTGGGCTCCCAGCTCCCGGTAAGGCTGCCTGCTGTGCTTGGCTTGGGGTCCAGGCAGGGTGGCTGTGTGTCTGTCTGGAATCGAACTTAGCCCCCTGTTGGGTAAATGGGAAATGTAATCACTTTAATAACTTTAAAAAATCATTAGAATGGCAGATTCGATTGACTTTTCTGATTCTTTATTGACAGTGATTTTTTAATTTTTATTTTATTTTGTTTTCCCCCTCTTTGAGTATTTAATGATCTGTAAGCTTTCAGAAAAGATACTGCCTAAAAGGGCTGTTTTTTTTTTTATTTGAGAAATAATTTTTTTAAAAAGGATAATAGCATCCTCCAGTTTTTCTATTGTAATTAAGACAGGTAGTAATGTTAAGTATTTCCTTTAATGATGTACAAGATCCCTGTGGAACTGAGTGGGGGAAAGGCACATTCTGTCTCTTTAGCCACACCCTCCCACCCTCCTCTCTCCCCCAGGCCTCTGCCATGGGAGACTCACTCTCTTGTCTCGTAACAGCAACATCTGCTGAGTGCTTATTGTGTGCTGGACACAGTACATTATTTAATTTAACTCCCACAATAACCCCCTGGGTGAGGATGATTGGATCCATTCTACAGATGGTGAAGATGAGGCACGAGAAGGGGATAAGTGACTTGCTCTATGTTGTGCACACAGTAGGTGCTAGACACTGGCGCGAAAGCCAATGTTTTGTCCAGCTCCCCTTTCTCCTCGGTGGCTTCTTACCTTTTCCTACTCCAAGGTTTGTAATTACTAATATGACCTTAAAAGGGGAATGGAAGGGATTTATTATTAAGTATTCGATCAGGGATAATACCATTTCAATACTGTTTTGTGTTCCCTTGTCCCAAGTTTTCTAATCAATATAGTAGGGTTTCCACATTTCGCTTTTTCTTTCTCTCTTTTCTTCTCTCCTCTTCTCTTTGAAGATAGAGAAAAGTCTTAAAACATCTTGAGCTCCTTTTGCTCCTATACATGGTGATTTCTGTCTCCCTTGGGTCACAGGGTGGCTGATATTTAGTTAACACTTTCTGAGCACTAAAAGTGTGCTATTTATTGCTCATTGTTCTAGGAGCTTTAGATGGAGGTTCTTGTTTAAACCTCATGATAACCTTGTAAGTAACATACTATCATTCTTCACATCTTATAGATTTAAAATATGAGCCTCAGAGAGGTTAAGTAATCTTCCCAAGGTCACACAGCTAGGCAGTGTCAGAGCTGGGAATCAAAACCAGGCATTCCGATGCCAGAGCCTACACACTTAACTGAGGATGTCTTCAAAAGAAAAAAACCTCTCACTCTACTTAGAAAGTGAGGCATTTATATTTCACCTGAAGAAAGAATCCCCCAATATGCAAGGGGAGGGGATGGGCGCTGGGCAGGCTGACTCTCCCCTCCTCAGGTCATGGTGTGGTTCCCGGGGGGCGCCTTCGAGACTGGCTCAGCCTCCATCTTCGATGGGTCCGCCCTGGCTGCCTACGAAGACGTGCTGGTTGTGACCACTCAGTACCGACTTGGAATATTTGGCTTCTTCACGTGAGTCTCCCCAAGTGACTGACATGCAGATCCCCAAGGGGTACCTGTGCAGTAGCCACGGGTACTGCCAGCAGCCTAGGGGGGGAATAAGCCTTCAGTGGCATTGAACACATTTGGCCCTAATTAATTAGTTAGGAAATTTTCACAGCTGTAACAGATAAATCCCCAAATCTTTGTGGTTTAAAAAACAAAAATCTCATTCTCACTCAAGTAAAGTTCAGTTGAGTGTCCCTGATCAACAGACATCCTTCCACGTGGCCAGCCAGGGATGCGGGCTCTGGTGTGGACCCTCTGCATTTGGCCCGCGTTAGGAGAATGAGCAGAGGCTCATGCAAGAGAGGTTTTTCTGGGTCAGCCTGGGGGTGTCGCTCATCACTTCCGTTCATGTGCCATTGGTGGAACTCAGTCATCTGGCCACATCCAACCACAGGGGAGACTGGAAAATGCAGCCCAGCTGTGCGCCTGGATAAGTGGAAACTGATGGTGTGAGCAGTTAGTCGTGTCACATGCTCACCTGAGAATCATCGCTTGATTGCGTTGGCTTCCCTTCCCCCAGTAACGCCTAACGTGTATTGGGTGCACGCTGAACCCAGCACGGTACTGTGCCCTTTCGTGCATTATTTCAGCTCACCCTCAAAGTAACCCTGCAAGAAAGGTTCTGTTGTTACTCCCATTTTACAACTGGAAAATGGAGGCACAGAGACGCCAAGCAATATCCCAGAGGTCACAGAACAGAGCTGGGTCTCTTGATCACTTCTATGATCCTGCCTGAAACGCGGCAGGTTAAGTGCGGAGGGGGGTGAGATGGAAGCGAAGAGGAGTAGTGAGGGGCGGGGCCACGACTGTGCTTGGAGGCCACTGTCCCACACTGTGTGGAAGGCAGCAATGATTCAAATATGAATCCTGCCTCCAAGAGACTCAAAGCCTAGTGGGAGAGATAAGGCAGCGACACAAATATCCATGCCACCAGGCAGGACACGATCAACTCTCTGAGAGTGAGAAGGAGCAGGGCTGTGGGAATGGAGATGGGCGCTGCACAGGCTTCCAGAAGAGACATGGCGTTGGAGTCACATCTTATAGATGTGGTTGGGTTTGGTTGGGAGAGCCCATGTTTGGCTAAGGATGCTGCCTTCGCAAAGACTAGGAAGTGGGAAGGGATGTGGCCAGGCATGGGGCTGAGGCAACATTGCAAACTGCTGGGCCTGTTGCCCCAGGGTCTGGGAGGTGGCAGCCAGGCAGGCTGACAGGTGCCTCCACCAGAGCAATTACACTTCTAGCTGCTCTATATGTTAGGATTCCTTTGGAAGAAAGGTTTCCAGCAACAGTTTATAATATCTGGGTTCAAGCCTAGGTAGATGAGGATATAGCAAGAGATGGATGAAGAAAGACAGGGACAGGACTGATAGGGAAAGGCCTCGAATGCCAGGCCATAGGCGGAGCATGGGCCTCCCCAGGCAGACTGAGGGACCCAGGAGTAGCCTGCTCAGAGCCGCGAACGAGGAAGCTTACTCCAGAACAGGGTGGTGGCTGGGCCAGGGGTGCCCAGCTGCAGCTGGGGAGTCCAGTTGGGAGGCTACTGCACAGTCCTGACGTAGGCCAGAGGGTGGCTGGATCATGAGAGCACTAGCTAACATGCATGTAACATGTATGTGTGACATGCTTACTGTGTGCCGAGGGCCGTCAATCTTCACAGCAACCATGTGGAGCAGGCACTATCATTGTCCCCATTTTAGATGTGAGAATACTGAGGCAAAGCAGGCTGAGCGATTTACCCCACGTCACCTGGATAACAAGTGTCGGGGCTATGAGTCCTGTGCTAGGGCTGAGATCTTAACCATTCGGGCAGAATGCTTCTCAGGGTGGACAGAAATGGAGGATGGGGGCCAGGGTGGGAACCACAATGGAATGGGGGTGGCATTGGCAGAGTGTGGCTCCTGACCTGGCGTGGGGGTCTGAGAGAGAGACAATGGAGTCACAGCCAGCCCGGGGGTCATGGACAGAGAAAGCGACCCGGGCAAGGAGCAGTTTAGGGAACTGGAGAGTGGAGGGGAGTCCGGGATTACTTGCAAACATGGTGCGCACCATGTGAACGTTTTCGGTCCAGGCATTTCTTTGGTTCTATGGCATTTTCAGTTGTTCCCCCATTAATTGTCCCCCCATCCAGGGGCAGCCACAGGAGGGGAGGGGTGCTGTTAGGAGCATGGATTCTGGGACCAGACTCCCAAATTTGAATCCTGAATCTGCAGCTTTCTAGCTCTAGGGCAAGGGAATTTAACCTTTCTGTGCCTGAATTTCCTAGTCTGTGAGAAGGAGCTGGTGTGTGCATGGGAGTCCTGGCAGCATGCTCAGGTTCAATGGCAGGTAGCACTTCCCAGCAGAGAGGGAGCCCAGGTGGTGGGACACACATTCCGGCCTCTCTCTAGCCCAGCCTCAGTCGAGCACCTGCTAGTGCCTCCCGCTGACTGTGCACAGTGGAAGCCTGGGTGCTGCAGTTCCTAGAGTGCAGCTTTTGGGGGGCAGGGCAGAGAAGGGTGGAGTGAGGACCCAGAGGAGCAAAGGGAGAAAAAACAGCACCACCCACCTCATAGGCCATGAGGTTTATAGGAGCATTAGCTGTAGATCCCTTAGAACAGTGTCCAGTGCCTGCTATTGCAGCTGCTGTTATTGCTGCTGTTGTTATTATTATTTTTAAATTTAGTCATTATTTAGACCTCTGTGCCCAGGAAGTCCTTGCTCCCTGGTACAGACTAACCCCTAGGAGCGAGACTCTTCTCCTGGGATCCATGGATTCAGGGGAGACTATGAAGACTCTGAAAGTGCACATGCAATATTGCATACGTGTATTTTTCTTGGGTGCATAGCTTTCATTGGATTCTCAAAGAAATGCCAATCCCAGCAAAGGGTGAGAACTAAGCCCAGTTTCCCCAGCTTCTCCAGGTCTCTGACTCCCAAACCCCTCCTGGGTGACACCTGTCCACAGCCTCTGCTCAGAACTCCCCGAGCGTGGCCTACTGAGAATTCTCACTCTTGCTCCCAGCACACAGGATCAGCACGCTCGAGGAAACTGGGCCTTCAAGGACCAGTTGGCTGCCCTCTCCTGGGTGCAGAAGAACATCCAGTTCTTTGGTGGGGACCCCAGTTCTGTGACTGTCTTTGGCGGGTCAGCAGGAGCCATAAGCGTCTCCAGCCTGGTGAGTTCTCTGTTTGTGACTTGAGTGCGCTCCACAGCAGCGCATTGTGGAGTTTTATACTTCTCTTCCAAATATTTAACTGTTATCTTGTCCACACCTAATTTGACAGCAATATTTTTTAGCTATCCTTTATCGAGGTTTTTTCCTCAAACATAATTTTGTTTTCTTTTTACACATGTAGTTCATTTGTTCCCATGATGTTTAATTGATTATGCAATTACAATAACAAGAGCAACTGACAAAACATGTTTGGAAGCAAACACACCTGACTCTTGGCAAGAGGCTGGTGGGAGAGAAATGAACGGAGGTGCTAGAAAGTGACCTGCTGGCTCTGAGTGGGCAGCATCTCCTCCACATCAGTTAGCATGTTAATTGCAGAAATTAGTTGCATGGGTTAAGAGAGCTTCTGCTGTACACTTGACAATATACAAGGTATTTTTATACCTTCAAAATTACCTTCTAAGGTAGCTTATATTAACCTAACTTTTCATGTATTACAACAGCCATCATTTCATGAGTGAAGTTTGACTAGGCACTGTGCAAAGACTTCTATGTTCATTACTTCCCCTACTCCTCACAATAATTCTGTGATATGGGCTCAGTTTTTACTCCAGTTTTACAGAGAAGTGAACTTGATGCTTAGAAATATTAAGCAGCTTGCCTGAGGTTACCCAGCTAGGAAGTAAAGAAGCTAGAACTCACATGCCTGAATGTTTGACTTCAAAGTTTATGAAGAACCTGGGGCTCAGAGAGATTAAATAACTTGCCCCAACCTTCACAATTAGTCCTTGAACCCCCAAACAGGGGCTTTTTTTTTTTACCCTCTAAGTTTAGAGCTCCTAAGGAGGCTTCCTGGTAAGGTTTCTTTAAAGAAGGGGTGGATGGTATGTGCGATGGGTGGGGAGCCCCTGGATAACCTTTCCCGGGTGTCCTGTGTTCTTTCTCCAGATTCTGTCTCCCATGGCCAATGGCTTATTCCACAAAGCCATCATGGAGAGTGGGGTGGCTATCATTCCTTACCTGAATGCCCTTGATGACCAGAGGAGTAAGGATGTAGGTATATTGTTGACATCTTTCCAGCTGCCTCTTCCTTAGCAGGAGAGTATGTGGTCAGGAGTTAATGGAGTGCCATCATCTCACCACGTGCTTGTCTTTCCTTAGCCACCATGCCCAAGAAAGCTCAGGCTGGCCCAAGGTGAACCTTGTTCCTCCATGGAAGGCTCCTGGTTCAGCAGGAATGGGTCCAGCCACACAATGCCACATCACTGGTGTGCATGAGTGTGTGTGTGTGTGTGTGTGTGTGTGTGTGTGCGCGCGTGTGTGTTATAGTTCTTGCATCTTATCCGTTATTCTTTTCTTGTGATATATAACTCAGTCCCTTGTATTATATACAGTTCCTCTCCTGTACCTACTCTACTCCACAGGGAATGGCTACCTAGGGAACTATGTTAAGAAAGATCCTGGGGCGGTTTCCAGCTCAGTGGGAAATAATGCTGTGACTGATTAATGCTGTCTGGCATGGGATTATAAGGAGGAGGTGGGGCATATGTCCAGAGATAGTTATCATCTGTCATCTTGTCTTAACTCTCTACTAGATAGGGAGGCCCTGGAGACCAAGGTCTCTGTGTCCTTCATATCCGAAGCCTAATACCTGGTATATATTGAGCAGCCATAAATGTTTGTTAGATGAATGAATTAACAAATGCACTAATTTATTCATGTTGATTAATTAAGCACTGGGCTATGGAGCTATCTCCTGAGTATTAATCATTTAAGAGTTATATTTTCTTAAACACCTTATAGAAATAACAGAGCACTCCAAGAGCAGAAACATAGAATTAAGAGATTGTAAAAATACCCTCAATATAGAGGGAACACTGATTTTGTCAACATTCTCTAGAAAGCTACTTTCAGTTTGTGCATATATTTATTCATATGTCACACATGTATTGAGTGCCCACTGTTTTCCCAGCTCTATTAGGACCTGTGGGTTTATCAGTGCATAAAACACATCCTAAGCTCAAGGAGACTATAATGTTTTTATTACAAAGGGTTTTTTTACCTGGAATCCATGGATAGGTTTGGGAGGTGGTCCTTGAACAGCCCGGTAATTATGCAGACTCTGTATGCTTGTGCATCTTCCCAGGGAGAGGCTCTGTAGCTTTCATTGGATTCTCAGAGCATCCATGACTCCTGGAAAATTAAGAACCACCAGTGTCAAGGGACAAGTGCTACAAATATGGAAGGTTCCATGACAGGGCAAGCAGGTGGTTAGCAATGGGCTAGGTAGGGAAGGTAGGGAACATTGAGCTGCTAAGAGATTAGGAGAGGAAGGGGTTATGGGGCCTGCAGTGGTTTGAAAGGATATTTTGGAGGGCAGGGCTTGGGCCTTAAAGAATGAGCAGGATTGGTGCAGGGACAGAAAAAAGACCTTCAGGGCACTCCAGACTACGGCTCGGGCAGAGCCGACAAGCTGAGAATCTGATCCCCAGTCTTACCTCAGCTGACAGTTACAGAGCTTACAATGCTGCTCCTCACTCCTGGGGCTTCTGGCTCCATTTAGCACCCCTACGTTGGGCTGCTGGGCTTTGGAGGTCCTAGTGCCAATGCAACCATGCTCACAGGACTGGTCTTTCCGTGACCAGGAATTTGGATTCCATTCCATGGCCTCACCCCTAGCTCTGTCGTTTGCTAAAGACAACAAGGAGGGTAAGGAGAGAGAGTAAGGATAACTCAGTGCCAGCCCGTCCTCTGTGTGCACTTTCTGTTACAAGTGTGTGGGGCTGAGGGAGGGGCCGCAGGATGGACTCATATGCAGAGGACCAGCCTGTGGCTGGTCGGAGAACACTTTCCAACTCTTATTTTCCTGGGTGTTTTCAGTACCGTGCTCTGACCTGGTCCTTCTCTGGAAATAGTTACAGGTGGTTGCACATTTCTGTGGTTGCAATGCATCCGACTCTGTGGCCCTGCTGGAGTGTCTGAGGGCAAAATCCTCCAGGGAGTTGCTGGTCCTCAGCCAGGTGAGGAGGGAGGGGAGAGTTTAGGGGTAGGGTGGCTCGTTCAATGGAGTGGGGCACAAATCCTACCCCTCTGTTATTTATTTTGATTCGGGACTTGGAAAAGAGGGGGATTGAGGATTCATGGTTAACAGCTGTAAAAAGCAAATGTGAGGGATAGAACCCTTGTAGGTAATTTAAGGAACTTGATAGGCAGGGGTGCTGCTTAGCCTGGGTAAAAAAACAGCAAACAACAAGAGCTGTCTAAGTCCCTGAAGGCATCTCACTGGAAAGAGGGATCATGCTTGTTCCCCACGCTCACAGGAGCTAAAGTCAAGATCAGGATCTAGAAGTTCCATTAGGAAACTATTTTGGCTTGGAATAACTGAGAACTTTCTAAAGCCTCAATTGTCTGGAGAAGGACTGAGGTCCTTTAGAAGGTGGTGCGATGCCCACCTCTGCAGGTATTTAAACAAGGTCTGCCTGACCATGGATGAACTTTCAATCACTGGATGGTTAATTAGACTGGATGATCTTATATGTCCCTTCCAATCTTGAGAGCCTTTGATAGTCTTTGAAAGAGCAAAGTCGTTATCTTTCAGACTCCAACATTTGCTAGTTATTTGGCATACATTGACTATCTACGGTGAGCTGTGCTGGAGTCGGGGAAATGGATAATAAGTCCTTGACCTGATGTTACGTCAAGCTCTTCTGTGTGGTCCTTTCTACACAACTCCCCAAACAGAAACTGAAGGAAACCATGATTAGAGCCCCCTGTTGCTTTCTGAGACTCAAGAAATATCCAGCCACATCCAAGGCACAGTGCTCTGGGAAAGACATCTCAGGAAGGTGTTCACACCAGCCCCTACTATCCTGGCCATTCCCTCCCCTCCTCATTTTTCCCTTTGCATTTGGCCAGTGGTTCTCAAACTTGAGCATGCCTCAGAACCACCTTGAGGACTTGCTAAATAAGTTTGCTGGGCTGCACCCCAGAGTTTCGTATTCAGTAGGCCTGGAGTGAGGTGGAAGTTTGTATTGCTAAAAGTCCCGGATGCTACCAGTCCAGGAACCACTTTGAGAACCACTGCACTAGGCCACCATATTTCTTGGGAAGATGCTATTATTATTCCCATTTAGCAGATGAGAAACTAAGGCAAGTTTAGCCCCCTTGCCCAAGAAAGTGACAGAGTTGTCCAGGAACTGTTGCATTGAGCTGGGCCAATAGTGGTTTATTTTTACTTTTTTAATGCATTTTGACCACTGCTAGACAGGGTTGAATTAGCTTGGCTAGGATTTTGTGAACAGAAACAGCTGCTGCTTTTTCTTTTCTTCCTTATTGCAGAGAACAAAGTCTTTCACTCGAGTGGTTGATGGGCTTTTCTTTCCGGATGAGCCACAAGAGTTATTATCTCAAAAAGCATATAAAGCAATTCCTTCTATCATTGGAATCAATAACCACGAGTGTGGCTACCTGCTGCCCTTGGTAAGAACTCTGGCCGTCTGCACAGCCGCTTCCTCAACAGTGATGCAGCCGTTTGCTTCAACAGCTGGGCATTTTCCTAGATGACACCAAGTGTTATGAGGGCTGGAGCCACCAGCCACGCACACAGTGGTAATCTTTCTCTGAAAGAGGGGGAACTGAGGACCTGGGTGTGGGGGGGGGTCACAGGAAGTGTCTGCCTTGCTCCTCATGTGATGGGGTTTACAGTGGGGATTGGATTCATTTGGTCTTTACTACAAACATTACAAATGATTGTTTTCAAGGTATTCAGAGCTGACATTCAAATAGGTGTGAAAATCTTCAGTCCTTTAAACTGTTCATGTCCGGCCATGGTTTGGCATTTTGAACTCCAAGAATGGTCTCCAGGGTTGTACAGGTTGCAAAATTATCAAATCATTTTATTCATTTGATGAGTACGTACTGAGCCTTTACTACATGCTTGTGAAAACCGAGCATTCATCTGTGAACACGGTTCCAGCGTTCTGAGAGCTTACGTTCTCGAGGAGACAGATGAGACACAAAGTCGAAATGATGATTTCAGAGAGTGACAGGTGCTTTGAAGGACACAAGTGGGAGAGAGGGTATCTTTAGGGCAGGCAAAGGGTAGTCGAGAAAGGCTCCCCTGAGGTGGGGTCATTGAGCTGAGGCCTGGACACTGAAAAGGAGCCATGATTTCTCGGCTGTGGTTAGGAAAACCTTCCCCATTGGAAGTAAAGTTTTCATCTGGCCTCAGAAGAGTGGAGGGTTCCATTCATAGCACCCTCAAAGCTAATTTATATAGACCAACCTCCTTGTTTTAGGCTGGGGGGAATGAGCTTAAGAAACAAAGAGATTTGCTGAATTACAAAGCTAGTTGGTGGCTGTCTAGAACCAGAATCCTGAGTTCATTTGTTGTTAAAGCATGTTCTGCCATTACTAATTTGACCTCCAGAGCAATGTTTTGGGGTAAGGGGACCTGGGGATTTTTGTCCTCATGTTGTAAATGAGGCAATTGAGTCACCGATTGTGGCTTGAGTAAGGCCTTTCAATGCTTTCTGGGTGTGTGCTAGAAAGAAGGCGGGTGCTACCGATGACAACCACCACCAAAACCACTGCAACCAGCTCCCAAGTGCCCTCCATGTGCCACGAGCAAGCCATCTGTGCAGCAACTTGGAAACAGGCATCACTGTTCCTATTTTATGGCTAAAGAAACGGAGGCTCAGAGGCTAAAATGGCTTTCCTAAGTCTCCCAGCTGGTACAGAGACAGCGGTGTACAATTTTCATGCACTTAGGCTCTACCTTTAAATGCCAGGTTCTCTGCTTACCGGCTGTGTGACGTAATGTCTCTGAATCTCCATTCCCTCATCTGTGAAATAGGGTTAATCTTAATACCCACCTCATAGGTATGTGTCAAATAGGATGGCATACAGTAAGTGCTCAGTAAATGCTAGATACTGGAATTAGTCAAGTGACAGAATGGGAATTGGTAACCAGATCTGCATAGCTTTAAGGTCTGTATGGTGCTGCTATTCCATGTGAACTTGTAATTAAATCCATTATTGGCTATTGGAGACCAAAGGAAACCCTCCGGAAACAAATTCCAGCTCGTTAACATGCACAGAGGGTTTTCAGTAGTTCAACTATGCTTGTGGATAACTTGAATGACTCTAGGGGTTCCCTCAGATTCCAGGAGACAGGCATGTTTAAATATCTACCCTAGTGATTCCTTACCCCAAGATCTTCAGCAGAAAATGTACCAAGGAGATGCATTTGACAAGTGAATAGTATTTCTGCCCTCTCATGTTTTTAGGTTATAACATTGCCAGAAAATGGTCATTTAACAAAGAATAACACATAGTTCTTCCTATGTATCAAACACTATCATAAGAGCGTTACAAATATCAGCTCACTCAGTTCTCATTGCAGCCCTGGCATGGGGACTGTCGCCGTCTCCACCTTTTGGATGAGACGCCTGAGGCAGGGACAGTTCAGTCCCTTGCCAAGTTCACAGCTGGTGAGGGCAGGACAGGGAGCCTGTGTTCTCAGCCACCAGCCTCCCTGCCTCAGTGCCCGACCCTACTGCTGGCTTCTCAGGGGACCTCTTTGCAAAGGTCTTTAGAAGGAGAACAGCAAAGCACCAGTTTTGAGAGTTTTCTGGCTTCCCTTTGAACTTGGTGTGGAAGCCAAGTTGTGGCCCTCGGAGAGACTGGTTCACCATCTGATGGCTCACTGGGGACACCCTGCTTCTCTCTGCAGAAGGAGATGCCTGAGATCCTTGCCGGCTCCAACAAGTCTCTCGCCCTCCGCTTGATACACAGCCTCCTGGTGAGTGAGCCCGGGTGACCGCAGCGCTCTGGAGACCCACTCACTAACACGCATCCTGAGTCACACCCAGGGAGAGGACCTGGGGGATAGATGTTCCTCACTCATTCATTCATTCAACAGACCTTTACTAAGTGCAGGCCCACCATTCCTTACCCACACTCCCCCACGTCCAAAGAGCTCCCAAAACCCAAAGGCTTTTTGTAACCCACCTGGCAGCCAAACCTGACCTAGATGGGTCTGCAGCTATCAGTCTTTGTAGTTCCCACACGTTCATTTACTTATTTATCGCACTGCGCATATGTTTCTCTGGAGACATGTCAGTATGGATGCTGGGGCTCCGCCCCACCACATCATGTCACGTAACGTGCAGCACATGTCCTGAATTACCTCCCATAGTCGGCAAAGTTCTGAATTCTGAAACACACGCAGGACTAGGGACTCCCGTTCACGCCACACCAGCCTGACGTTATGCCAAGTTCTGACAAGTCATTTCTTCATTCATTCATTTATTATTCAATAGCTTATTCATTCATTCACTGCACAAACATATCAGTCTCAAGTCTTACTCTAGACACTAGGATCTGGAGATAGATTGCTTCCTTTCCTTCTTTCTCTCCTTCCATCCATCTTCCTCCTTTCCATAAACATTCATTCAGTGTGGACTCAGGGCCAGGTTTATTTCATTCATTTATTCATAGAACAAACATTTAGTGAGAGTCCACATGTCCCTGCACTTCCCTAGGTGCTGGGGTGCTGTGGGGGCTGGGTGGGGATGGCAGGACACTTCAGTGCACACTAGGCAGAGGAATGTCTAAGGCCCTGTGGTGCCCGCCGGTGGGGGCAGGTGGCTCCCTCGGGGAGAGTTTGAAGGATTGCTGGAGCTTGTCTGGAGACAGAGGGCAGAGTGAGAGGGGCCATGCGGGACCAAGAGGACCAACTGGGAGCAGAGGGGTGTGAAACCAGCTAAGGATTGGCTGCCACAGGAGAGATGCTTGATGCCATTATAAGCTGCAGAAGGAATGTAAACTTCATCCCAGGGGCTGGGCACAGAAGGAAGAGTGACATGATTCAGTTTCCATTTTAGAAAGAGCCTTCTGGCTGCAGAATGGGCCAGACTGGGGGCAGGGATCCCTCGGGCCTTGAGGCTTGTGGAGGGATATTTGCTCAGGCTTGGCTGTGTGAGGATGAGAACTGGAACAAGAGTTTGAGACACATTCAGAATATCAGTCGAATAGTGGAATCTCTCAGGCTGGGTTGAAGACGGCCTCGTGGAAGAGATGGCCATTGGTCTGGGCCTTAGGGGAAGGGAACCCTTGAGCAGGAGATCATTTCAAGTGGAGAAGGTATCCTGAGCCAGTTCCCAGGGTGGGAAGCAGATGGTATGGGAAGGTGCAAGGGGAATAGAAGGGCCTGGGTCTTCCTAGGCCCAGTAGGATGCCAGGGGCTGCTTTTGAAACGGTGAGTAGTTCTCTGAGGCAGAAGGCAGAGCCTTGCTCAAGAACCCCAGAGTCTTGCATTCTGGCTGTCCTATGGGTTCTTGCCCAATACTCCACTCTCTATGCCCACCTTGGATACCTCTGGCACCATGGCGTCTGCTGATCATATACTCCAAGTGGCCAGGCCCCTGCACCACAGCCTGGACCTGCTGCAGAGCCTGCCCTTGCTCTGGGCCTGATTAAAAGCCACCGGCCTTCTAAGGACCTGATCAATGGGTCTGAGCAGCGTTCCCAGATGGTGGACCCTGCTTCATCTCCAGATTCCAAGCAACCTACTGAGGGCTGTGCCACTGTCTTGGTGGTAGGGGTCTGAGGTGCAGCGTCTTATCCAGCACCCCCCAGAGTACCAGACCCCCTAAACACATCAGCAATGTGGCAGATCCCTGAATCTTTTTGAAGTTCAGCTTTCACCCTCTGCCATTCATGCTTGGGGCAAGTTAAGGGGGAGAAGCCTGGGAGGCAGGCTGGTGCCGGGTCAAAGAAGGCATCGAATGCCCCGTGAAGGCCCTTGGCAGTGGGGCTCAGGGGAACCAGCAGGACTGAAGGCCTGCCCTGGGCCGAGAAGCTTTTCTCTTCACATCTCATGCCATCCTCCGAATAACCCAGTTTTTATAGATGAGGGAACTGAGGCTCCAAAAGACTCACTAGCTTAGGGAAAACAGCAGAGGGCTGGAGGCGGCGCTGGTACTAGGAGCAAGGCCTGTGCCGTGGATGTGTGGCCTGTGTTGTCACAGACGGCCTTGTGCTCAGAAGGGTGCTACATTTCAAGATGGCTCTGCTGTCACCATCTGGAAATTCTTAATAATTTTTGAACAAGGGGCCCACATTCTCACTTTGCACCTACAAATGATGTAGCCAGTTCTGCCCAGCAGTGACTCTTTTTGAAAGATGATAGGGAGGCCCATGTACTGTTAGGAGCATGGGCTTCAGATGCAAATAGACTTGTGAAAGAATCATGGTCCTACCAATTTGGACCAACCACTTCACCTCTCTCAGCCTCAGTTTCCTAATCTGTGAAATGGGGCTAATTTTCATAGGGTCACCGTGTGGATTGAATGAGGCCTTGCCTGTAAGCATTCAGAATCATGCCTGCACAGGTAAGTGCTTAACATGTTGGCCATTGTTGTTGACCCAGATCTCCTGTGACCATGATTTTTTACAGCACCTCCCCTTACAGTATTTGTACGTTGTGGCTAATGAATACTTCCATGGCAAGCACTCTACGGTGGAAATCCGAGATAGTTTTCTGGACTTGCTTGGAGATGTGTTCTTTGTAGTCCCTGCGTTGGTCACAGCTCGCTATCACAGAGGTGAGTCTCTGAGCACCCCCTCCAGGACCACAGCCCAGGGAGGCCAGTGGCTGCAGGGACCCATGTTGTCTGCTGACCAGCTGCCCGCTCTGCCCTCTGCCCCCTCACCCAGGGGGAGTTTCCAGGTGTGTCTGGGATGCAGCTGTGCTGTGCTGACTGTGGCAATTCCCCTGCCTTCCATAGTTTGGGAATGTCGATCAGTTCTTGTTTCTGCTCCTTTCCCTCCTTCGGAATCACATAGAACATTTCCACCTCCCTATAATTTTATGGAGGACATTCCCCAGGTTGTTTTCTCTCTGGAAGTGTCTTCCCAAACAGCTGTGAGGAGTAGTGGAATAATCAGAAAGACAAGATTACTTCTGGGGACATAAACCTTGTCTGGCTTCCTTCCTTTCTTCCTTCCTTCCTTCCTTCCTTCCTTCCTTCCTTCCTTCCTTCTCTCCTTCCCTCCCTCCTTTCCCTTCCTTTTCTTTTAATAAGTATTTATCAAGGACCTACTATGTGCCTGGCACTGTTCTAGGTCTTGGAGATAGAGTAGTGAACAAAACATGTACCCTGTAATACTTCGGGGGAAAAAAAGACCCTGTCATTATGAGAATCACATTCTAATAGCAGGTGAGCCTGATGACCAATAACAGGTAAACATAGAATGTGTTAGATGGAGTAAAATAAAGCAGAACGAGGTCAGTGGTGATGAGGTGCTGTGGAAGGTCACTGTTTTATCAGGTCTGTTAAGGTGACAGTTGAGATAAGGACTGAGAGTTGACTATTGAATTTGGCGACACAGATGTCACTAGGGACCTTGACAAGAACTATTTTCATGGAATAACAGGGGAGTAAAAGCCTCATTAAAATGGGCAAATTGGTCTCCAGACTCAATGCAACCCAATGTCAATCTCAATCGAAACCTTAGCGGTGGTTTTGGAGAAATGAACAAACAAATGCTACAAATATATGGAAATGCGAGGATAGCCAAAACTATCTTGAAAAAGAATAACAAAGTTGGAGGCCCTACAGTCCACCTGATTTCAGGACCTATCATTGAGTTATGGTAATTAAGAAAGTCTGGTATGGACTGAACATCAGACAAACAGACAACAGAATAGAGTGGAGAGTCCAGAAGATAGACCCACACATAGCAGTTAACAAATGGAGCTGGAATAACTGGACATCCAAAACCAAATTTAAAAATTTTTGCTGTTCAAAAGATATTAACAATGCAAGCAAAAGCAGTGGAGTAGGAAACTTCACTGCAGAAGAGGTGAATGAACCAGCAGGGACCATCAGGATCAATTTTAATAGAACTCTAGAAACAAATCAAGGGTTTACAAGCAGCAGGTGAAGATTTAGTCAAGACAGAAGCCCTTGAATCTCACTGTGGCATTTCCACTCACTCTTGCAGCATTCCCTGCGACCCAGCTAAGCAGTGGCCTTGAACAACAACCACCCACATTTATGATACAGCAGCCCTAGGAAGGGAGCGAGAAAAATAGACCTTATTTTCAAATAATTGTCAATGTTTGTTTTGACCTATCTGGGGCTCCCTAAATGACTAGCTCAAAAGGCTTGCCTTTATTACACCTAAATCAGAACTCTCTTAGGCCTGAGGCAGCTACCTGGAAGGCATCTGTCACAAACATTTATAGGTAAATGCATTAGTTGCTGCCACGAGGGGTAAGGGATAACTGTTGGAGCAAACAATAGACTAACTGAAAAGCTTGGGAGGAAAGGACGGGCAATAAGACACTTTGGGAAATTAGGGCTTGAAAAGCCCCCACATGTTCCTGGGTATCTAGACTGCCGTGGCCGTGGGTGTGTCCAGAGTGGGGACCGTGCTCAGAAAAGCCCCCAAGAGGCCCTGAGCTTTCCTGTGAACGTCAACCTCAGGCTCTGCTCGAGCAGAAAGTGAAGGCTAAGGTAGAATCATAAACTGCCTGGCTGGGTTTTTAAGGAGTGCCCAACACACACACACACAGCCCGGCTGCAAAGACTGGGAGCTTTTCTTTGTTTGTTTGTTTGGTTGGTTCCAGGCATTTAGGGAAATCCCAGCTGACCTATCAAATCACTAGCTGACCACTAAGCTAAGAGAAGAGGGACTGTGACAAAGTGCAGACTTTACAAAATTCACGCAGAGACATCACCAAAGAAACAAACAATAGCAACTTTAACAAGCAGTGACAACAAACCCAGGGGTAGGGGGAGAATCGGATATACAGAGTTGCCACATTATAATACTCAAAATCTCCAGTTTTCAAAAAAAATTATGAGCTATGCAAAGAAACAAGAGAATATGGTCCATATTCAGGAAAAAAATTAATAGAAATTGTCCCTGAGGAAGCCAGGCATTGGACTTACTAGACAAAGACTTTATTTAAATCAACTATTTTAAATATACTCAAACACTCCACACATTAGATTCCATATTCTACTCAAGTGCACGTGGGACATCTACCAGAATAAACCATATGTTAGTCCACGGAAAAATTTCAATAAATGTAAAAATGATGCAAATTGTACAGAATATCTTCTTCAACCACAATGGATGAAATTAGAAGTTTATGAAAAGAGGAAATCTGGAAAATTCATAAATATTTAGAAATTAAACAGCATACTTTTTTTTACATTTTAAAAAATTGTAGTTAAATGCATGTAACAAAAAATTTATCCTTTTAACCATCTCCCTACATTCCTTCACCTCTGCTACTGCAGGTCTTTGTGCTGTAATTTCCAGCACACATGCAGAGAGGTGGAGGAGTGTAGAATGCAAATGTATAGGTTGTCTTGGAAGCAGGGAGTTAGCCTTGTTCTGTTGTCTCTGGACAGTTGAATCCGAGTCAATGAGAGAAAGTCACAACAAGGTAGATCTTGGTTCAATATGAAGGACTTTTTTGAGAAGTAGGACTAGTGCCTTCTCAGGCTGCCCCAAGGAGTAGTGAATTCTTATTCATTAGAGGGATGGGGCTAGTTTGGCAGGAAATTTCAGCCTCGAATGAGGAAGGAGGAAGTTAGGCTGGTTTTGGTAGCCTCTTGTCTCTGATCTTTTCCCAGTCCTGGTCTACAAATCCAGGACTCAGTAGGTAGGAATGCAGCCCCCTGCTCCACCCTGCAAGCACACTTGACCTTTCCTCACCTTTTGTCAGATGCTGGTGCACCTGTCTACTTCTACGAGTTTCAGCACCGGCCCCAGTGCTTTGAAGACACGAAACCAACTTTTGTCAAAGCTGACCACGGTGATGAAATCCGTTTTGTGTTCGGAGGTGCCTTCCTGAAGGGCGACATTGTCATGTTTGGTAAGGAAATGGCCACAGGGGCTCCTGCTCTTGGGGGAACACGGAACTTGGGATGAGGTGGGGAGAAGATTCGACTCCTCATGGTTAATAAGGAGCTCTCTGTTCACCCCACCTCTATGAGAGAGCCCTGGAGGACCTGTAGATTGGGATTTAATCATCTCTGTGGCTTACAGAGAGACACAACCTTTCTCTGGAAAATGCTCCCACTCGTATTTTTAGAAACCAAGATGAAAAGAGCTGTCAACATTTGTTGGATAAGTGCTTCTCTTTGCACTAAAGCCTGTGGGGTGTGCACTGTGGGGCACTCAGCATCTAATTTTTTAAAAAAATTATTAGAATCATTTTTTTCCTTCTCTCTGACCACTAGTCTCCCCCTCCCTACTCTTCCCAGAAATCCCATGAGGCTACCACCCAGGGCTTTCAAAGGCAGGGACCACGTTTTTCTTATTAATAATTCTTGGATCCAGATGAGCTCATGTCAATGTTTGTGAAATTGTTACTAATGATGTTAGCTCATTTATTCCTGAATTTAGACATATTTGGTGCCAAAAATAATAAACCAATCAGAGTAGGTTATATCAACAGCAAAAATTACAGGAAGATTACACACAGGAGTTATCACTAAAATATTTAATTAAAAACATTACACAACACAGACTCTTCACACTGGCCTCTCAACGAGAACAGAGCTTCCCACACAGAAGCTGTGGTTTGTGACTGTGGTTTGTTCATTATTTTATGTATTTATCATCATCTTACGTCATCTTATAACATAGATAATGACAGAACTATCTTTGTCATAAGGTTTAAATAAAATAATTCCCACAAGCACACAGTGAGTACTTAATAAATATTACTGTTATTAGTCAGCAACATTACCTGGGCCATACTACGTGATGGCACATGGATTCTCCAAACTGGAAAAAATGAGCAACATATGTATCAAAGGGTTAAACTCCTTGATATCTAAAGAGCCTCTAAAATTGATGAGAAAAGAACCACCTAAGCAAAAACTGGGTAACAGATATAAACAGATAGTTTTTGGAAAAGGAAAACAAGTAGCTTTAAACATATGAAGATCCATGCAGCCTCCCTCGTTAACAAGAGAATTGCAGACTAACTTGGGCTGAGGAAACATTTTCCATCAATCAAGTTTGGAAAGAACAAAATATTTTAAATTAAACAATGCATTCAAGCGGGTGTGGGAAACAGACAATTTCGTACGTTCATAGAAAACTATGAACATTTAAAATGCATAGAGTCTTCAGCCTGGCAATTCTACTTCCAGGATTTTTTTTGCATAATTATACTTCCACGTGTGAAAAAATATAAGTGCACACTAACACATTGCTTTTACCAGCAAAAGATTGGAAACATGATACATGAATTTCATATTTCTGTGTAATAGCATATAAATATTTATATATTATATGTTCATAAAACAAGAGGTGGCAACTTTATCGGTGACAATATCCTAGATATAATAGGAGATTAATTTTAGTAAAAAGCGCACGGTGTAGAATTAGTGTCCAGTCTACTACCAAATGGCAAATGGTTGCCTCTGAGGCTGGTCACTGGGTGTCTGGAGGGAAGAAATGGGAGGGAAATCTATTTTCATTAGAAATGAGATACTCTTTTTGCATTTTGAATTTTTTACTTTTCAAATAAAGAAATACAGTAATTAATTGTAAAAGTGTGCGTGGGCGTGTGTGTGAGAAAGAGAGACAGAGGGCAAAGAGAGAGGGGCTGTCTCTGTCCTCGAGGAACCTGCAGCTTTGTGGGAATGGCTGGAAGAACACAGGGTAGACAGGGACGATGTGAGTTCAGCCTCCGCCATTTGGAAGCCACTATTGTTTGGGCGGTCACAGTTGCTCTGAGCCTCAATGTCTGCACATACAAGATGATGGCTTGGGGGCTTGTAAGGAGGTAGCGGGAGGAGAGGTGTGAAAGGGACCCATCAGTGAGGCACCTGGGACTTCTAGCGCGTCATTGTGAGCAGCGGAATTTTGTGATTGTCTCCTTCAGAAGGAGCCACAGAGGAGGAAAAAGTGCTGAGCAGGAAGATGATGAAATATTGGGCTAACTTTGCACGGACTGGGTAAGTGAACCTCCCGGCCTCCCCCACGCTGGGGTGTTGGAGGAGGAAGATCTCGCTCTGTTTCTACTTTCACCCACTTGCAGGAATCCTAATGGGGACGGCCTGCCCCTGTGGCCGGCCTATGATTTGACTGAGAAGTACCTGAAGCTGGACGTGAACGTGAGCCAGGGACAGAGACTGAAAGAGCACAGAGTGGAGTTTTGGACCGACTCCCTCCCTCTGATAATGTCCACTTCTGAAGCTCTCCTCCGTCCTCTTTCTTCCCTGCTCCTCCTTTCCCTGCTCCTGCCTTCCTTTTTCTCCTTTGTTCCCTGAGAAGTTACCTGTGTATGATTTCGGTTTCTCTTCTTCTGCGATTTCTCCCGCAATCATGAGCTTCCTTCTGAGTTTAGCTGCTCTCTATGGGGATCTTTGCAGAGTAAGCTGCTTTAGCTGGTGCTTTATGGACTTAGGGATGCTCTTTATAGAATTCTTTTCAACATCAAAAAATGCAATTTGTCTTGGAAGGCAACAAGATGTCTTCAGTAAGTCTGGAGGAAGGCTGGCCTATTTGTTGTCATAATAATGATCTTGTTACTCATATGCAATAAAATCAGAATGTAAAATATATACAGGGAACAGAATTTAATTCTGTGCTGATAACTCCGCCCCAGCCCCCAACATCCAAGATGAAGTGGACTTTCTATCAGAGAAGGTGTCTGCATGTGTAATTACCTAAAATGCAAGTCCCCCACCCCAACCCAGGGGGACTTTAGCCACAAGCCAAGTACAGATGTCCTGGATGTTGCTGGGTTTGAGCTGGGTCTCCTCTCTTGCTCAGGAGATGTGTGGGGGCACCTGAGAGCATCCTCAGCCATGGAAACCAGACATCATTCAAGGTCAAGAACCAAGAAGTCAAACACCAGGCAGCAAGGGTCAGATCAGGGACACCAAGGAGATAAGAGGCTTCCCCAGCGGCGTTGAGACTAATCTGCCACTCAATAAATCTACATTGCACTCAATATATACTACGCAGATCCCTGTTGGGGATACAGCCATGAACAAAAACACAGCTGCTACTAAATAATGAGCAAACAGACATCAATCAAACATTCACCCAGGTGAATATCTTATGACGTAAATTTGATAAGTGCTGCTCAGGAACAGTAAGGTGTTTTAAGAAACTGCAACTGTAACAAATGGACTTCAGTTATTAATAGAGTAAAGTCTTAGGAGGCTCGCTCTGTAGAAAAAGCATTTATTAAGAAAGGATGAATTAACGTTTGCCACATGATAGGGAGAATGCTGTACATCCTATCATTCAAAGACACACTCTGTATATCCATATAGTTCTTATTATATACATATAATTATTCACCAGGGTAACTGATTTTTCTTTATGATTACTTCAAGATTAAACACGAGGTACATTGAATGGAGGGGTTTTTGTTCCAACTCATAGCCTGCATCTGGCCCCCAGAGGTGTTTTGTTTATCCCACACAATGTTAAAAATGTTTTGGAATTAGTGGCCAGCTAATTTTAAATTAGGGAAATTTCACATTAAAAGCCATATTTCCGACTTCTCCAGAGGGGGTAAATAAAAAAACAAACCCAGAAGATCTTGCAACAATAAAGGTACGTTCCCACACTACAACCAGGACTTCTGACAGCCCATATAGCACCTTCGTGCAAATTAGAAGGTACCCCTTCCTCAAAACCCTCCACAGACATCTTCCAAGAAACTGTCATTGACAAATATCTGCATCTACGATATGAAGGACATCTCCTCTGAAGTGTTACCCTTCTACAGTGCACAGCCTGTGCAACTGTTCTCAGCAAAGATGAGTAAACTGCAGGAACAGAGTAGTGGCTACCCCCTTTACAAAGGCATAAACTCTCAACTTTCCACAGTCCTCACCATTCCCCTTTGTCCTGGGCCTATTATCTAACCCCTAAAGGTGTTTAAGTTCCGGCCCCTGACCTCTCATTTTACAGTGAGCCACAGACAGTTAAACGGATTCACCCCAGATCACTCATCAAGTTAGCGGCAAGTCAAAACCAGGCCTTGAGTCTCTTGTCTCTTGAGAGCAGCACTCTTTCTGCCATGCTGCAGACCTCTCTCACCAGACAGTCCAAGGCATTGGGTTGTCTCTAGCTTGGGTGGTTGTGAGAGGGGTGGATCAGAGATGCCTGAGCTACTTTATGACTCTAGGAAGAGGGACCAAGCCACATGCAAGCAAGTTGGAAATTCGATTGCCTCTGCAGCTGCAGAAGGCTAATTTCTACATTGATATTTGGAGAAACTATCAGCTGGAAAACACCACTCAACTCATTTTTAAAAATACTATCATATTTAATGACATTACTCCACGCATCATTTATAAACTGCTTGCAATTCCAGTATCCTCAAATATGCTTCTAATTTTGGCCGGCGTCTTGCTAGGGGGAGCACATTTCCAAGTCATCCAGATATATGGCCCTCATCCCTCCTTCTTCTTGTCCACACACAATCAGATTTATGGAGTTAAAGTTGGCATATAAATGCCACTTTGTGTCATTTTTGTTTTTTTCCATTTAGTTCAGGGTTTTGTATCTGGAGTGTAAGTAGAAGAGTTGTGTGAAAGACTTTTCCAAATCCCCACTGGCCGGGCCACTCGCCAGTGCAACTGAAGCACAATCTTCTTGGATGGGACCTAGAAGTCTGTATTTTCTGTTTTCAGGCATATTAGTGCTCAGCCCTGATTAAGAACTACTGAGTCTTATCAGTGTGGCGTATGTATTTTTCAAGTTGCTAGAGGCTCTCCAAAAAAATGACCCCATCATTTGTAGCACCAGGGAGAGGTGTGTATTCTGTGGCAGCCATCTGTGCAAGGCTGTGGTATTCTGTCATTTACACATGTCCTTCTAATTAAAAAGCCAATTATACTCAGAAAAAAAAAAAGCCACTGAGATTGCTGGAAACCGGATCAGGCCAGGTGGGCAGACTAAAGGGCTGGGTGCAGCCTGGGGAGAGTGGATACTTTGAGAAACTGGACTGTTTTTTTTTTTTTTTGCTTTAATCCATGTCTGACATGGGTGTGTTACAACCTCTTTAGCCATTAGTCTGATCCTAGACATTTATGGTCTTAATGTGATGAGCAACTTTGGGAATGGATACTTTTATTTTTAAATATTATTTATGTCATTCAGATTTGCAGAAGATGGACTGGGTCAAAGGCTATGCCCTTTTTACATCACTCTTCTTATGTTCTACAAATTCATTTTCCTAAAGAGCCGTATCACTTCATACTCATCAGTAATGCAGGTACTTATATTTCACAATAACTTCTGCTTTTCCGTCATTGTAAAAATAGAAAATATTTAATCACTTTATAATTGTTAAAGAAACCATTTGCTTTTTTTCCAGAATCCTCTCCCCCTGCAACAATCTTGAACCCTATTCCTTAAAACAAACCAAAGCAAAACTTTAGCAACAAACCCGAATCAGTTTCCGCCTGTGAATTTCCTAATGTCCAGCAGAGGGCAGCATTATAATAGAGAGAAAACACTTCCCTCCGCTCTGCGGCTTCGGGGTGCTGGTGGTGTGGTATCGCAGTGCTTGGACCGGAAAGGAAACCGTGCAAGATAGTTATATTACAAGCCAGTACCATACAGTGTTGTTTTTTTTCTCCGTAACGTTTGGAAATGGAACGGGTACGATCCGTTACCTGCGAAGTCTCACTGTGAAGACAACCCGCAGGCAGCACGCAGTTTTTCCCTTTTCGCATGTTTGTACTTTCCCTACTTCCCGGTCAGCTCCCGGGAGCCCCGCCCCTAGGGATCCCCGTCCCTTCTCCTTTTCGTTTAAGGGACTCTGGACTCGACCTTTCTGCCCAATGCCGAAGCCCAGCTCCCTTTGCTGGCCCTGGCCGCGGCCGCAATTCCCCCACTTGCACCGGTTTCCCCTGGGCGGAGACCGGGGTGGGGAGGCGGCTCCGCCCGGTCAGCATCTGCGAGGCGAGCCTGCCTGCCCACGGCCGAGCGGGACCCGGTCCCTCGGGAGCTCGGGCCCTGCTAAGAGCTGGCGTGTGATTCCCCGGGGGTGAGGGGAAGGTCAGCGGGGAGGAAAACCCACCTTGCGGCTCGATGGTGTCAAAATACCAGGGAATTCCTGGGCAAAGAGCTGGCTGTGCTCCGTGGCTGGGTTGGAGCTCAAGTCTGGACTTAAGGGACGGTGGCAGGGCCCGGCCGGCGCAGCAGGGCACGGTGGCAAGGCTGCTGGAACACACCCCGGGTGCCTGGGGGCAGCTTTTCTATCCTGACCTGTAGGAAGCAGACTTTTCTCTTTATGGGAGGATGATGTGATACAAGGTGCATTGACCTATTCATCTCTCTGTCTCTCTATGTCTGTCTATCTATCTGCTCCCCTTTATACTGCACTTGAAGCTCTGTTACTTCCTGGACTTTTCAAGGATAAGAGCCAATTTATTCAAGACATGCTTTAGGTAAGTTTAAGTTGGATTTCTGTTACTGCATTCTGCAGGATCCTGATTAAAATAATTGCCACATTTGATCATTTGTATTCAATCCTGTAAGTTATATGGTCTACGGTACCTTTATCTGTATCAATTTTGTCTCCTCTATCAGATACTAGTTCTTAAGGCCTGGTATAAACGTTTACGTTTTTAAATTGAATAAAACGTACATGCAAGAAAACATATATATATATATATATATATATATATACACATACATACATATACACACATATGCAATATATATGTTATGTCTTGATGCATTTTCACTAACTGATGACACTTGTGTAATCAGCACCCAGAAGCCATCTTGAGCTCAGCTCCAGGCTCCGCCCACCTCCCCTCCCTGCCCCCTACCCCCCCACAGTGGGAACCACTAACCTGCCTTCTGTTAATAGCAGCATATTATAATAGCTTTTCCAGGTTTTGTGCTTTGTCTAAACAGAATCAAGTACTCTTGCATCTGGTTTCTTTCTCAATATTGTGTTTGTGAGATTCGTCTGTTTTGTTGTATGTAGTTGTAGTTTGTTACGGTTGCTGTATAGTCAGTCATGATAGGGTATAAATAGGCCACAATTTATCCATTCCTAGGCTCCTGGACTTGGACTATTGCCTTCTCTGGACTTCCAGTTTGGAGATGGCCTGTTGTGGCCTGGCTCTATGATTGTGTTAGTCAATTTCCCTAATAAATCCCCTCTCATAAATCCCTTTGTTTCTGTCTCTCCAGAGAACCCTGACTAATACACTGGCTATTTTTAGGACTGGTACACTTTGACTTTTATTCATTACTGTATTATTCCTTGATTAGTTTTACTTTATGC